CGGGAATATCGGGAATTCCGGGAATGTTGGGAATTCTGGGAATTGCGGGAATATCGGGAATTCCGGGAATGTTGGGAATTCTGGGAATTCCGGGAATGTTGGGAATTCTGGGAATTGCGGGAATATTGGGAATTCTGGGAATGTTGGGAATTCTGGGAATTGCGGGAATGTTGGGAATTCTGGGAATGTTGGGAATCCTGGGAATCCCAGGAATGTTGGGCAGGAATCCCGGGAATGTCGGGAATTCTGGGAATGCCGGGAATCCCAGGAATCCCGGGAATGTCAGGCAGGAATCCCGGGAATGCCGGGCAGGAATGCCGGGAATTTTGGGAATCCCGGGAATCCCGGGAATGTTGGGAATGTTGGGCGGGAATCCCGGGAATTGTGGGAATCGTGGGAATTCCGGGAATGTCGGGAATCCCGGGAATTCCGGGAATCCCGGGAATCCCGGGAATGTCGGGAATTTTGGGAATTGTGGGAATGTCGGGCGGGAATCCCGGGAATGTCAGGAATGGTGGGAATGTCGTGAATTCTGGGAATTCTGGGAATGTCGGGAATGTTGGGAATTGTGGGAATCCTGGGAATTTCGGGCAGGAATCCTGGGAATGTCGGGAATTCCGGGAATGTTGGGAATTCTGGGAATCCCGGGAATGGTGGGAATTGTGGGAATGTTGGGAATGTTGGGAATGCTGGGAATTGTGGGAATTGTGGGAATGTTGGGAATTGTGGGAATGTTGGGAATGTCAGGAATGTCGGGAATGTCGGGAATGTTGGGAATGGTGGGAATGTTGGGAATGGTGGGAATGGTGGGAATTGTGGGAATGTCGGGAATGTCGGGAATCCCGGGAATGTTGGGAATTGTGGGAATGGTGGGAATTGTGGGAATCCCGGGAATTGTGGGAATGTTGGGAATGTCGGGAATTGTGGGAATGTCGGGAATGTTGGGAATGTTGGGAATGTTGGGAGTGTTGGGAATGTTGGGAATGTTGGGAATGTTGGAATGGTGGGAATGTCGGGAATTGTGGGAATTGTGGGAATGTTGGGAATGTCGGGAATGTTGGGAATGTTGGGAATTGTGGGAATGTCGGGAATGTCGGGAATTGTGGGAATTGTGGGAATTGTGGGAATTGTGGGAATGTTGGAATGTTGGGAATGGTGGGAATGTTGGGAATTGTGGGAATGTCGGGAATTGTGGGAATGTTGGGAATGGTGGGAATGTCGGGAATGTTGGGAATGTCGGGAATGTCGGGAATGTCAGGAATGTCGGGAATGTCAGGAATTGTGGGAATGTTGGGAATTGTGGGAATTGTGGGAATGTTGGGAATGTCGGGAATGTTGGGAATGTTGGGA